AGATTTTTTTGCACCCTCAGATTCCAGATTTTCAAATATTGTCCTATCCTAACAAACCATACATCAATGGAAAGCTTATAACCATTCTCACTTCCACCCCAGAAAATATGGAAGGCAATATAACATAGATGGGCACTATAATGACTCTATAATTCCTCAAATATCTAGAATAACCAAAAGCCATATGAAAGTCCTGCAGATGTTTCTGGATGTCGGTAACAGCTCATAACCGCTGTGGAGCACATAAAACAACTCGTTTGACCGGTTTGACGCAGACCTTCTCTGCTAAAGCGTGGCCTTTACCCTCACAAAGTATGCCAGAATGTGTGAACCCTGTTATTGTCAAATATTTTCACACTGAGATGACAATACCGGTAAATGTTTAAATATAAATATGAAAAAAATTTAATTCACTTTTATTCTTAAATTAAAATTTTTAACTTGTACTAAATGTGTCCCTGCAGCACAAAAGCAGTGTTAAGTCGCTGGGGGATATTTGTAGCAATAGCCAACAATACATTGTATGGGTCACAATTATACATTTCTCTTTTATGCCAAAAATCATTAGGATATTAAGTAAAGATCATGTTCCATGAAGATATTTAGTACATTTCCTACCGTAAATATATCAAAACTTAATGTTTGATTAGTACTATGCATTGCTAAGAACTTCATTTGAACAACTTTAAAGATGATTTTCTCAATATTTAGATTTTTTTGCACCCTCAGATTCCAGATTTTCAAATATTGTCCTATCCTAACAAACCATACATCAATGGAAAGCTTATTTATTGTAGGCCAGGGTCGCAAATTAATAAAACATTAATAAAACAAAACATTTAATAAAAAAAAAGGTTTTACTAAAACACTACATAAAATGAACAAAAAATAATAAAAAATAAATATAAATCTGATTTATTAAAAATTTCTTTAAAAAAAACGAATTGAAAACAAGTTAGTAAAAATCTAAATATGTTTTAAGATGTTATATGAATAGCATATAACGCATATGTAAGTCGATGGAGCGATGCTCCTGTGTCCCGTTGTTTGTTTGTTTGTTTGTGTTTAATGCCATTCCAGCTTCCAGAAATATTATGGCTGAATTATATCATTTATTTTTGCTAAAATCTCCAAAACTCTGTTAAAAATCTCTTCAAAAGAAAAAAATGTTTCTCAATGAGTTAAACCCAGCACAATCTAATAAAACATTAATTTCAGCATTTACTGATGCATTATTAAAATCTCAAGTCGTGTTTGTTAACATTAGTTAATGCACTATGAACTAACGAGTGTATGTGTATTAACTAACGTTAACAAAGATGAATAAATAGTGTAATAAATGTATTGATCATAGTTTGCTCATGTATAGATTAACAAATGGAACCTTATTGTAAAGAGTTACCCAATCTGGTCCCTACCTGCGGAGGTGAGCGCTCTTACCTTCTCCTGCGTGCCGTTCTCGGGGTCAGCGGGCGGGGAGCAGGGGGGTCTGACCGCCTCCACCTTGATCAGCCGGTGCTTCGGAGACACGTACTTGACCTCCGCCGCGGAGCTCGGTCCGGTGGAGAAGGGCACGGTTCCGCCCGGCGTGTACGGATCCTCGAAGTCCAGCTCCTTCTGGAGTTTGTAGGCGGTGAGGATGTCGGGCTGCGCGGACAGTAACCCGGTGCCCGGCGGCGTCTGGAGGCTGGAGACGGCGGTGTGGAAGTGTCGGTAGTCCGGTTTCGGAGGCGCCGGTGGCGGGGCTTTGGTGGTTTTGAAACCCAGGTGCTCCTTGAACCATCTGGCCATGCTGCCAGCGCATCGCTCACGACTCCGATACGAGATTACTCCGAGTGCTGCTGTGGCTCCCGTTCTCCGACTCTAGCACTTTCTGTTTGGAGAAACTCTGCGCTCTCTGCGCGCGCGCGCGTGTGTGTGTGTGTGACAGCTGAGCGGCTGCTGGGATATATTGGGAATTTCTACCCGAGATACTCACTGCCATCTATCGGTGCACTCTGACACTGGAAACACATGAGAAAGCAAGGATTTTTTCAGAAACGTGTTGAATTTTGCGCGAAAATAAGTAGATCCCCATCACTGCGCTCTTCCTATTGGCCTTTCTGTAAAATATTGCTGTATTCATTTTTTTTAAGAAATATTTTTTTTTATATACAAATACAACTATACTACAATAAACACTTCAAGTAAATAAATCATATTGACGCTACTATCTGTAAAATGGAAAAATACATTACTGCAATTCTACTGTGGTACAGCTTTGCCATATGGAAACATTGATTTTTTTTTTTACATTTACAGTAAAACTATGTTAGATAAAGTTAAATTGTGAATAAAAAAATCCCCCTTGAGAAGATGTGTTTAGAAATGAGGTTAACAGAGCAGTGTCTGCACTTCTACAGGTGTGTTCTGTGTGAGGATGACAGTGGAGAAAAGAGTTTGGACTGATATTTAAATATCATGTGACTTAAAAACAGCACATCATTGACTACCTTAAAGGGATAGTTCATCCAAAAATGAAAATGTGATGTTTATCTGCTTACCCCCGGGGCATCCAAGATGTAGGTGACTTTGTTTCTTCAGTAGAACACATTTGATGATTTTTAACTCAAACCGTTGCAGTCTGTCAGTCGTATAATGCATGGCAATGGTAACAAAATCTATGAGAGTAAAAAAAACATGCACAGACAAATCCAAATTAACCCCTGCGGCTCGTGACGACACATTGATGTCCTAAGACACAAAACGATCGGTTTGTGCCAGAAACCCAACAGTATTTATATCATTTTTTACCTCTAATACAGCACTATGTCCAGCTGTCTTCAGCGCGCGCACGGCATCCGGTGCATGAGGAGTGTACGTGCTCTGGCGTAGTTTACGCAAGCGCCGGAAGTGATC